TTTCAATGCCTTCATATTTGTTATCTCATTTGAATCTAGCAGCAACTCTGGAGATAAAGATGGAAAACCTTCATGCCATTTAAATCCCTTTTATATATGAAGAAAAATGTAATCATAGAGAGTTTAAAAGCGATTTCATCAAAGCCAGGCAGCTAGTAAGCAATTTGAATAAGATTCTGCCTCTGATATATTGTGGTAAGGCGAGGGAAAGCTTGATTCTGCAGTATCTGAATGATAAATTCCCTCTCTCCGTTGTTCCATTTCGAGAGCATTTGACTTGAAGAACCTGGTATGGGATATATATTTCAGACATGACTTGGAGTTAATTTCAGGTAAGCCTCTTTCGAGCAGTAAAAATAACAGAGTTTTTATATTGAGTGAGAGTTCCCATGGAACCACTCTGAGTTTGAAGTACTTTAGTGGCATCTGGAGAAAAATCTGTGGGTAATCCTGTTTCCTAGCATCTTCCTTAGAGAAGAACATGGTGTATTATTTTACAGGCCAGAGAAAAAGGGTGAAATATGAGGTGTGGAGATTCATGCTAGTTACACGAGCACACAGACTCTGGAGGTGCATCCCAGCCTTTTCCATAAAGCTGGCTGGAAACAGTAAAAGCCAGACTTTCTCATGAGAAACCTCACGGCGTTTTTATTGGTTTGCCCCTGAGATAATACTCCACCTTTGGGAAGAAAATCCAAGAGGGCATATAAAATTGGGAAATAGTCACAGAAAGTCCAATTATACTTCAGAAACTATGAGAAAATTAGTTTCCATTTTCACATGACCTGAAACTCTCTATACAATCAAAGGTTGTCACCAAAGCAGCATCCAGATGGTTTAAAAGAAAAGTTAGTTTATAAACATAAAGCTTTTGTGTATGTTTGTAAACTAGCTTTCTTCAAAGAAATTGAAAACTTTGTCCTAGTTAGGCAACTACATCATTGAGGGAAGGGACCCTTGATTGTTAATTTTTGTGTTTCCAGGGCCTGGAACTGGGTCTGGCAGCGAGTGGCACTTAATGAAGTGGTGTTGAATGGCTACGTGATGTCAATGCCATTATTTTAGGCATGAGCACAATCGTGTTTCTAATAATTAAAAGGAACCTATCCCCCCAACTTTACAGTGGAGAATCTTGGCAGACATCACCTTAACCAAAGTTAGCATCACCACTGATAAATCATATGGATATCATGTAGCCTGCAGTAGGCTGAGTAATGGCCCCCAGTAATAGCCAGATCCTGATCCCTGGAACATGTGACTATGTTGTACGGCAAACCTTATGTGGCAAAAGCGATTTTGCAGATGCAATTGAGGTGGAGAGATTATCCTGGATTATCTGGGTGGGCCCAGTGTAATCACAAGGGTCCTTATAAGAGGGAGGCAGAGATAGATTTGACTATAGAAGAAGAGAAGGCAACGTGATGACAGAAATAGAGATTGGAGTGGTGAGGCCAGCAGCCAAGGAATGCTGGGAGCCTCCAGAAGCTGGAAGAAGCAAGGAACAATTCTCCCTGGAGCCTCCGGAAAGAATAAGGCCTGCCAACACCTTGATTTTAACCCGGTAAGATTCATTTCAGACTTCTGGGCTTCAGAATAGTGAGTATACATTTCTTTTCTTTTAAGCCACTAAACTCATAGTAATTTATTACAGCAGCTACTAATACATGCCCCCTGATATGAGGTGATGAGAAGAGCACCTCACTGCTATGGTTTTAATCCCCAAAATCCATATCGCCAGTCTCATAATGAAAGATAGTAGACAAACCCAAATGGAGGGATGTTCTACAAAGGGTCAAGATCATGAAAAGCAGGAAAGTCTGAGAAACTGTCACAGATAAAAGGAGACTAAAGAATCATGATGACTAAATGCAGTGTGGTATCTTGGACTGGACCCTGGAACAGAAAATGACAGTGGTAGAAAGACTGGTGAAATCTGAATAAAGTCTGTAGTTTAGATAATAATATTGTACCCTCGTTAAGTTCTTAGTTTTGGAGGTGTCAACAATAGAGGAAACTGGGTGAAGGATATATGGGAACTCTTTGTACTATTGTTGCCAATTTTCTGTAAATCTAAAGTTATTTCAAAATAAAATGTTTCAAGCCAGCCCTTATGGCCTAGTGGTTAAAGTTCGGTGCTCACCGCTTCGGCAGCCCAGGTTTGCTTCCTGGTCATGGAACCACACCACCTGGCTGTCAGTTGCCATGCTGTGGCAGCAGCTCACATAGAAGAACTAGAATGACTTACAACTGGGATATACAACTATGTACTGGAGCTTGGGGAAGAAAAAAAAAAAGAGGAAGATTGGCAACAGATGTTAGCTCAGGGTGAATCTTTCCCTGCCAAAAAAAAAAGTTTAACAAGGAACCCATCCCAACGACATGTTGTCTTATCAGATCTGTTATTAGAGGTAGAAATAATACAGGGATGTGTTTCAGAGGGTCAAGGGGCACATGGATTGAATTCTCCCAGGAAAGAGGAGGAAAGAGCTGGAAAGAGAGATGGCTGAGAGTAGAGGGAAGGTGCCACTCTCTGTTGCCTTAGGTGCCACTGGGTGGTACCAATGCCTCAAGTTGTCAGAGCACAGGCAAGGGGAAATTGCCCCTGTATTTTATGGAGGTGCAATCCATGGCACAGAACAGTTCAGTGGCAAATAATGTTCATTGAATTGATTTGACTTGCCCAAGCTCACTGAGCAAGTGGTAAAATGGAATATAAATGGTCTCATTTCCAGGTATACAGTGGCTGGGCAAGAAAGTTCAGTTCACTTATAATATTTTAAAAATACGTATATTTTATATGGATAAGAAACTTCAGTGTTACTGAATAACAAACGGATTTCAGTCTGTATAACTTTTCTTAGATTTGACCATACTTTCCCTTCCCTCACACCTCCTCTGACAAGGTTCAATTCAGGTTTATAGCACTCGCCTTTTCTGCTATTTGTTTTCTGCTTTATTTTGTCTTTTTGGTGGTTTTCTTTTCTTCTCCTCTCCATCCATTCTACTTACCAGGTGTTATCTATGGCTGCATAACAAATTGCTATAAAACAGTGGATTAAATCAAAAACATTTATTAACTCACAGTCTCTGTGGGTCAGGAATTTGGGCATGGACTGTGTGGTTCTGGCTCAGAGTGTCTCTTGAGATTGTAGTCCAGATGTTGGCTGGGGCTGCAGTCATCTGAAGGCTTGACTGGGGCTGGAGGGTCCACTTCCAAAATGACTTACTCACATAGTAAGGGGGCCTCATTTCCTCACCATGTGGACCTGTCCATAGGGTCACTTGAGTGTCCTCATGACATGGTGGCTGACTTCCTTCAAAGCAAGTGATCCAAGAGAATGCACAAAGGAAGCTGCAATGTCCTGTCATCTAACCTTGGAAGTTGCACCCTATCACTGCTGCCTTATTCTATTTGTTACAAGCCAGTTACTAAGTGCAACTTACACCCAAGGGGAGGGAAATTAATCTCCCCTTCTAGAAGGAAAGAGTGCCAAGAACTGGTGGATATATTTTACAACCACTGTACCAGGTGCTCTCTTAGCCTTGGGTCTGGCTGAGGATTTGGTCTCCCCCTCTAGGCTTTCTCTGGGCATCTACATTTACTTCTGCAACTTCCTGTGGCTCAAAATGAAACTTGACTCTTTATTTCAAAAGACTCCCCCATCTCTCTCCTAAGCTTCCGAACCCTATGAAAAGTCACAGAATGTTAAGAAAAGAGAAGGGAACTTGAAATGATCCCAGAGTTGTAGGATCTGGATATAGTCATCTGTCTCTTTTGTTCCTGCTACAGCATGAAAATTTGACATCTCTAATTCTTCTCAAGCAAGGGGTGCTGGGATCTTTTCAGCAGTTTCTCCACAGTGCTGTCAGAAATATGATACTGGAATCATGCTCAGTACCCACGGATTTTCACCACATGACCTTCTCCTTAAAGCCTAACTTCACTTGTTTCTTGGCTAGCCTTCCTCTACACATTTGAACTATTTGGCATTCAGCATCCTAGTTCTCAGGCAGTCCTCTTAATTATTGACCTCTCTGCCTTCAGACTTCAGCTCTGATTTCCACTGACCTCCTTACTTTCCCTTGTTCATATGGTGAAGTCAACATGCCGAAAACCAGATGCGGCATTTCCCGCCAGAGTGGCTTCCCTCCTGCCTTACTCTTTAGTCTCTCGTCACAAGCCTAAAATAAAATAATTCACCATCTTGGGCTTCTCCATTGCCTGTATTCCCTACATTTGTAGTGGGATTCTTGCCCCTGTACTGTGGCAAAGACAGTTCACCTGCCATGCAGTCTGGGACAATTCCCAGCCATTATTAGGGATATCAAAAAGCCCCAATTCAGTGATTCCTCATCCAGCTTCGAGTTGGTCCAGTTGCTTGTTCCATTTTGAACTTGAGATTCTAGTTTCCTATCTGTTCCCAGTTCCTGTCCTGGTTTCATAACGTCTTCTACCAGATCTCATTAATGCCTAGATCAGCCCTTCTCAGACTTTAATGTGCACATCAATCCCTTGGGATCTTGTTAAAATGCAGATTATGATTCAGGAATCTGGGTGGTGTCTGAGATTTTGTATTTCTAACAAGCTCTCAGGTGATACCCATGCTGCTGGCTCAAGGACCACACTTTGGGTAGAAAGGGCCCGTAGCACCGATCTCCTAAACGTGTTTCCTTGCTCACCCTCTCCCTTTGCAGAAGGGAAAGCACAAGTAGTGTCATGGTGTCATGATCTCTGGGTCATACACAGCTTGCATCATTGGTCCCCAGCAGAGTAGAGTTATGGAATCCCCTGGAGACCTCATGAAAAATACTGATTCTTTTTGTTTTTTTGGTGAGGAAGATTCACCCTGCGCTAATATCCATTGCCAATCTTCCTCTTTGTTTGCTTGAGGAAGATTAACCATGAGCTATCATCTGTGCCCATCTTCCTCTATTTTGTGTGTGGAATACCTCCACGACATGGCTGATGAGTAGAGTATGTCTGCGCCTGGGATCTGAACCTGCAAACCTGGGCCGCTGAAGTAGAGTGCGCGGAACTTTAACCACTTGGCCACGGGGCTGGCCCCAAAATACTGATTCTTGAGTTCCATCCCCGCAGATTCTGATTTGGTAGGGCTGGGTAGGCCCCCAGAATCTGTATTTTTAAGAAGCACCTCAGGCAATCTTGATGATTTTTTATGAACCAGTGTCTTATAGGCTAAAATCCAACCTGAAACCTCATGTGTAAAGTCTTCCCCAGCAGATCCAATCTACTTTATTTCTCATTTATTACTCCCCTCCAAACCTTTGTTTCAGGCAGACTGTCTCTCAAACAGACCCGGAGCATCCCCTTCTCTTTAGTCTGGTTCCACTTACAAATTCTGCCCACACTATAATTAATTTATCTTGCCTGTGTATGTTCATTGTCACTCTGCCAGGAATGCCAGCTACTGGAAGACACAGTGCCATGCACATAGCTGGTGAGAGGAGACTCTCTTTGGTCCTGTCAAGTCCACCCATCTTCCCAAATTCTACCAGGCCACTTCCCCCTTCATATTCAAGTCCCGCAGAAAATCCACTTCTCTGGAAGAATGGAAAATGTGACTCTCTTGACTGAGATAGAAGTAGAAGTGACACCCCTGCCCCGACACATAGAAAGGATGCTGAGTCACACTCCAATTCTATTCGGAAACTAGAGTCTCTGAGGAGAGGGACTTTGTATTGTATTTGTTCCTTGTCACTTTCATAAGTCAAAGGCATCTCATGCTCACCATTAAAGAAAAAGCTAAGCAAATGTCTAAGTATGTTTGGTGATCTGCCGGAAGGTGACACATAATGGTAGGGATGGAAAGAATCATTATGGCTAATGACTTGAAATGACATCAGAATTCTCTAATTAGCTTTTTAAAACATCCTTGATCTCAGAAAATGTTAGGTGTTGAACCTCAATATATCTTCATTCCTAAAATACCATTAGAAGAGTCTATAGTGCTGTGGAACACATGATGCTAACACCAGCCATGGGAAATCAATATCTATCAGTATCAGCTTAACTTACATGGGAAGAAACGCTAATGGCCCCGTTGGATTTAAGAAGTGAGGCTGACTCAGCACAAAGGGGTGTCTAAAGAAATAAAGGGAAACAACAGCCAGGAGTCGTCTTTGTGAAGCAAAAATATGCCCTCTAGACCAAACTTTTTAACAAGAATACAAAATCCCTCACAGTCTCACCCAAACTTGCCTCTAGCTGCATTTCACTCTGCTCTTTCCGCAGCCCCTCTCTTCCACTCTGGATGGCCTTTCTGGACTCATAGAACAAGTCCCCTGCCCAACACTATGCTCTTTCCTTTGTGCCTCTATCCTAGGCACATACTATTTTCTCTGTTCAAAAGGTCCTGCCAAACACTTACTCAACCGTTAAGATCAAATGTCACCTTCTCTGGAGAAAAGGTAGTTGCTTCATCCTAGGAAGGGGATGGGGTCTAAATTGCTGTGACTTTTTCTGTTTTAAGAAGCCAGAGTTTATTTCTATTTAAATAAAACTCAGAGAACTTTCAGAAGGTTAAAAGGCCCAAAGATATCTAGGTTTAATGTAATATTATAGTCAGGTGCTGGCTGTTGCTGCCTCTGTTTTGAAATCCTCGGGATAACCCTGGGCAGTTCAATGCCTCACTGATTCTTCTAATCTGAGCATGGTGAATGCCAGTGAGTTTCGGCATAATTCATACAAGGCTATCCTTCCAGTAATGACGACAAAAACAATGCCAGCAGCAATCATTGTCATTGAGAGGAAGAAAGGTAAATAAGCAGAAAAGAAAGCCACCACAGCATTTTCGAGAAGCAAAATTACTAATCCAGTATAGAACAAACAAAAGCATTTGCAGAATCTATGTGAAAACACTTCTTGTGTTATTCTTTGAAACCAGGTCCTCTGACTATGAGCTTGAGTAGCTGGGATCATGACAGGTCTTACAAAAGCAAGTATCTCCTTGTTATTTTCCTCAGACTCTTGCATAGTGTCTGGAAACTGGTAGATGTTCGAGAAATGTCTTTCAGGTAAATGGAGGAGTTGCTGATTCACCTGTATGAGTAGGATCTATGGCCTATTGACCCAAAGTCAGTTGCTCTTCCAACCTTATTGGGCTTTTTCAAAGTAAAGTCACAACAAGAATCTCTCTCGATCACAACAATAATAGTATAGTAATAGCGGCTAATATTAATTGAACACTTACTATATGCCAAATACTATGAAGTCCTAACATGGATAATTTCATTTAACTTCACAAATTATCCCCACTTTACAAACAAGGAACTTGAAGCTTAAGACACAAAGTAATTTGCCAAGGCAATGAATGAGGGAGCCAGGATTTCAGCACAGAGCCCATATACTGCATTATTTAGCTATACCACTAGCAACTAATCGACACCATGAGGCTCGTGGTTACGGACTCATTATTGGTGATAGCGGTCTCCACTGAGAAGCTCTTCCCCATCCAGGCATGCAGCGTCAGACTCTCTACTGATGGCTGAGAGGAGCACAAGCCCTTTGGATTTATGGAAGGAGCATGGCAGCCATCTCAGAGTTGTAGACTGCCACTGGAAATTCCCAAGACAACACACTTGAAGGTTTTCTTGGTGGGCCCTGGCATGGTGATAAGTGCAAGCTTCTTTATTCCTTATGGATCCTGAAAAACCAAACCTTCACATGGCAATGCCTGTTAGTGACTGGCTTCCTGTGATGTACCTGGAAGAGCTGCCTCCACATATGTCTTGAAGATACACCCTTGTAATGTATTTATACGTTGTTGCCTAAAGGTCTAAGCTCAAATCTCCTAGTACCACCTCAATAAAGCCTTTCCCAGCACCCTATCAACTCTAAATTATTTCTTTCTACTTCCCAATTCCTTGGTATTCTAGCTGTAACTCCTTTATAGTTCATTTCCCACTCAAAGCTGAAGAGGAAATTTGCTATAAAATGTGGCAAGAATTCAATAAAAAATTGCCAATAACTGCATCAAAATGCCAATTCATATAATTTTTAGATCCAGTGAGAAAAGACCCATTTTTCTGGGAAAGACTACTGATCTTTGAGAGTTAAGAATACAGCTGGCTCCCGACTTAGTTTCTCCCTGGTAAAGGGAACAGGAATGGCCTGGCAAATCTACAGGAAAGAGCATGTGTGCGTTCTACTTCTGGTTTTTTCCAGATGTCAGTTCCTGAAGGTTGAAGGCATGAGTCCTGTGCCTGTTTTCGCTCAGTAGCAGTCCCGGTGCAAAGAGACAGTGGGAAGGCTGAGTGGGACAGCTCACGCATGGACACCCTGTGCATCAGTGTGCGTGTGATTCAGAGACAGACCTCGTTTTATAGCAACCTTAACATGTCACTCTAACATATTGGAAAAGAGGAGAAAATGGGATGTGAGTCCCACCTGGATTCATGGGCACAGTATCAGAAAGATTTCCAGTGCCTTTGCAGAGTGCTAGCCACACTTATTAAATACCTACCGCAGGTGCTGCCTCTTAAATGAGACGTCAAAGGCATCTATTAAGCCACACAGATGTAGCAACTGCAGTCTGCTGGTTGATTCTCATCTGGGGAGAACAGCCGACTGGGCAGTGATTGAATTGTCCAGCAGGGGGCTGGCATTCTCTGCGTATAAGTAGACCTGGTTCCTCTTCAGAGCCTCAGCTCAGCCGAGCTGCCGTTTGCTGGTGAAGCCGGTGACGTGCAAAGCATCCTGCCTATAGGATTTGAGGCTTTCTCAGTGCAGTTTTTTTCTACCCACTTTAAACCTTCAGATTCTAAATATCAGGAAAGACAGGAAATGCCGTGTGAAAAGAACAGGCCAAAAGTTCTTAGGAAACTGCAGCCAGGGAGACCCAGACTAGAATGGAGGTAGGAAGAGTTGCTACAGAGTGGGTTTCATTCTAAGCCCTTTGTTGGCTGAGTTTTTGTTGTTACCTTATTGAATTTAGAGATGTACTGCATTGGTCACGTGAAGGCCAGAGCAGCACCAGCATCAAAATAGTGACAGTTTTGAATGCACAATATATACGTACGCAGAGTATTTTTATTGAAGAAGATAAAGAGCCCAGCACAGACTTTATTCTCATCTTCACCCAACTGCAAAATCAAAAGTTAAGAAACAGCATCTAAGGGCACTTTTTAGGTGGGAAGGAATCCAGAGGATGGCTCTAAATGATTGTTTGCCTCTGAACTTGGAAGTGGACCATTTTGTACACTGCAACGTCTCCAATCACAGTGTGGATCTCCCCACGAACGACGACTGGTTCCACCCAGGGATCCTCTATGTCATCCCTGCAATTTATGGGGTCATCATTCTGATAGGCCTCATTGGCAACATCACCCTGATCAAGATCTTCTGTACCGTGAAGTCCATGCGAAATGTGCCGAATCTGTTCATCTCCAGTCTGGCTTTGGGAGACTTGCTCCTCCTGGTAACGTGTGCTCCCGTGGATGCCAGCAGGTACCTGGCAGACAGATGGCTGTTTGGCAGGATTGGCTGCAAACTGATCCCCTTTATACAGCTTACCTCGGTGGGGGTGTCTGTCTTCACACTCACAGCTCTCTCGGCAGACAGGTAAGTACCGGAGGAAAGTTACATTCTCTCTGAGGGTGGTCAGTGCCTCTGTAAATGAGCTATCATGTTGGGACAGACAGAACTGTTTGCACAAAGGGAAGTTTTACTCAAACTCAGATTCCCTTCCAGGCGTGTTTTTGTTCTGGGGATTGCTTCTTGAGTTTGACACATTGGTTTAAAAAAGAGAAGTAGTGGATGGCGGGGATGAAAGGGGACAAATGAGCAAAAACATCTCCTCACATAAGATTGAGGTGCATTTCCTGGAGACGAATCCATTTGACATTGCTTTTTCCTAACTTCTCCCTCCCTGCCAAGTTAATTGATTGATGAGAAAACAAAATCACACCTAATGGAGTTTAAATCTCAGGCAAATGTTTCGTAGAAGCAATTCAGAGTCTTCAGAGATCACCACGAGGAGAAAATAAGCAACATTTCCTTGAAATTCATTTTCCTCAGACAGCTTAACTTTTCTCACAGCTGATTTTGTATGTGGCTTTCCGTCACTGAATAGTTTGTGAGCTGTTTTTTCCGAGGATCTCTTAAGTGAAATCAAGCATTATTTGGATTTTTTCCCCTTGGGAAAGCTCCATTCAAAGTTGATTTCTAATTTGAATATCTTTATTGATGTACCTCCATAGCCAGTGCCTTTGAGGTTTTGTCAAGGGGGAGTCCGGTACAATGTTTGATTCCAGGTAATATACATATTTGTGAACTGCATGTCTTAAGTAAACATGATGCTTTAAAATTCAGATTTATTCACTCTTAAAAATTCACATTCATTCTTTGAATATTTCTGAAGCGTCTATCATGTAAAAACCACTTGCTTGAATTAACCAGTCAGGAAATAGCTGCAGGTTGTTCACACAAATTGCTGAACGTATCTTATGTACTTCTGAGCTCTAGAAGTTGGACACAATAATGAATAGATTCCAGATACATCAGAGACAATATGGTCAAATTAAGAAAAACTGGTACAATGAACCAGAGACTGTAAATTTTTATTTTAAAATCAACTGTATGTTATGATGTTAAAGATAAAGGATTTGAGAGCGTAGCCCGGGAGAGGCATAGAAGCGGCTCTTGAAAGTTTATACTCTGAAGAAAATGTACCACATTTTAACACATATCGTGCTGGATTCTCCTTTTGTAGAGGAACAGACGGTCCCTAGGTGACCCGGCTTTGTCGAGTAATGGACAAATAAAGATAGTGTTATCAGTGTTTGTAGACATGTTATACTTAGCTGCCTAAAGTACACTGCTCGACACACACGACAACTTCAAAGATTGAAAAAGAGTAGCCCAGAAACTAGGTTTGCACATCGCACCAGCTGGACAGGGCTTCTCCACCCCTCCCCCCCCCCCCCCCCCCCCCCCACTCAGCTCCAGCTTGCTCTAACCTTGACCATTTGCCCGCCAGGCACTACTGACCACAGGCAGTTTCACGTGTTGATTCAGGGCAGGCAAACTTTGGAGCAGGCAGGCAGATGTGTGGCTCGTTACTACTGGCCAAGGGCACTTCAGGATGAGGGTCATTTTCTTGATGGGAAGATGAGATTTTGGTCTCCAGGTTGGTGAGTGCAGTGGTACAGATGGCGTTTACTGTCTTCTTGGGGAGGGGAGGGGAGGGAAGGGGGCAGAGAGGAGAGTGAGGGTGTGCAATGTAAAGATGCAGCTGCAGGGAACTGTTCTCTGGAGTTTCAAAGCAGACCAAATTCACCATCAGCAGAAAGGCTCTTTCAAGAGCCAGGTTGCACCCTGTGGCAGTTCTAGTGTTTTCTCGGTAAGTTTATAGTTACTGCGTGTCCTTCCCAAGTTCGGAAATTACTGTCAGCTTTCATATAACTAACTTTGCGTGTTTTGCTAAGGCTTAAAAAAGCTGGTGGATCACCTGAATCATAGGCAGTGCATCTAACCAATTTCAACAAGAATAGATATTGAGCTAGTTAAATAATATAAGCCTGTACTTATCTCTTTATTTCATTTTTAAGAGCTATTGGAGTCTTATAACAACCTCATGAGGTTGGCAGGACAAATATATATGTAAATATCCACACACGCACAATATCTATATTTCTTCTTCTCAACAAGGTATAATCTATCAACAGTAAACTGAACAAGGGTACAGTTCAATATATTTTTACATATGTCTATGTAACAACATGACCACCACCCAGATGGAGGTGTGGAATGGTCCTAGCACCCCAGGAGTTTCTTTTATGCCCCTTTCCAGTTAATACAGAGCCCCATAGAGAGGCAATCACTAGCCTGAATTCAATTACTGTAGATTATTTTTGCCAGTTCTTTAATCTCATAAATGAAATCATGCTTGTTATGCTCATCATTATGTCTGTGACAATCATCCATGTTGGTGCACATAGCAATGGTTTGTTCTTTTTAATTGCTGTGTAGTATTCCATTATATGAATATGCCTCAGTTTATTTATCCCTTCTAATACTGATGGACATTGGGTTGTTTCCAGCTTGGGGTTGATAATAACCCACTCTGAATATTCTTATTTATGCCTTTTGGGGAACATAAGTGTTTATTTCTCTTAGGTATATGCCTGGGAGTAGAATTGCTGGGTCATGGGGAGCATATGTTTAGTGAATATTATCAAAGAGTTTTCCAAAGTAGTCGTCTGTATTCGATAGACTGGTAAAAGGGTGAACCAGAAGACCCTCCAAGCTGGATGGTCATTGCAATCATTGGGGAGCTTTAAAAATATACCGATTCCTAGCTCCCATCCGAAATCCACTGACTCAGAGTTTCTGGGGTGTGAACCAGTGTAGCGATAATCATCCAGCCTGCCCCCTGTAGGTTGGCCAGCAATGCCAGTACTCATTCCCAGCCTCCCTTCTGCAGTTCTCCCCTTCCCCAGGTGAACTTGAGTCTTTGTTAATATGAAAAGAATAGCATTTTCTAGAAAAGTTTATACTGCTGCCACCAAGAGGAGACTGCAAGGCAGTCCCAGAATCCAGAATTCTGGGTTTGACACAGCTGACTGATTACAGATTTGCGTTCAAGCCCCTTCACTATTGGTCCCCACCATCCGTCTCCTTCCGTGCTTTCTTCCCTTCACAGACACGATGATGTCCTCATAACACAGTGGTTACACTGACGAGTTCCTGACTCTGCTTCCTTGCTTATGCTGTGTCCCACCCACTCTCCAGAATGCTTTCTGCTTTCCTAACTAGAAGACTTTACTCCCCATCCCATGGAATGTATGGGCTTGGAATAGGCATTTTAGGCTTTTTTCTGCCACTACTACCCACATAAGGAAGTTGGACCAAGTCACTTAACTCTCTGACCTTAGTCGAATCATCTGTAAGATAATAGAATTGAGCTAGATTATTTCTAAGGTCCCTTCAAATTTTAAAATCTTCTGATTTTTAATTGTCATCTTGCCTATCATTCAGAATCTGGCTTAAGCCTCCTCTTTAAAGCCCTAATTTGGACCATTCTAGCCCAAATTTCCAGCCTTCTTCTAAACATGAGGCTTATTATCTGAGACATGAATTATCTTGCGACATCTTTCATCTTGTTGTTTTGAAGTATTTTACTCATCAGTCTTTTTTTAGCCTCTCCTGTATCCATTGTTTTAACTTTTCAAGTAGATAAAAATGGTGAGAGTGGAGATTTTTTATATTTTCCACAGTGCCTCACATGGTTCCTTGTACCAAATGGGTGATCAATAAATATTGATTAATTAAAATTATGGTTAATTAATGCATACTTTTCTTCTCCTTATTATTCTTCCCCCTTTTCGAAATTTATCTGAAAGCATAGTTTTAAAAATATATCACACAGTCACCTGCTTCTTATCTGTTTCTCTTTATTAAGCTCTCATATTTGGGTAAATGAGAGAAAAGCTATTCTTTTTGAGCCAATAAATAGATTTGTGGGAATAAATAGATGAGTGGATGGATGGATAGATGGAAAGGTGGGTGAGTGGATGAGAAGATGGATGGATGGATGGATAGGTGGATGGTTCGATGGATGGATGGATAGATGATTGGATAGATAAGTAATAGTTGAATGGATGGATAGATGATTGGATAGGTAGATAAATAGTTGGATGGATGGATATGTTTTTTTACATACTGGTCTTTCCTACTAGAAGCCCATCTCTGTACTAGGTGCCTCAGTATTATGTAAATGGAACTTAAGGCCTGAATTGGACCCTCAACAGAAAAAGCATGAGGAGAGTTTGCTTTTTCTTTTCCAGTAAGCATAAAGTTTAAAGCTGGATTTAATGTTGACAGCATGCAATCCCCAAGTTATATTGTGCCTGCTTCGGTATTGTTATTCAGTGCTTTTCCTGCTAGGATGGAGCTGGCAGAATGAATCCTAAGGACAGATGTCTACAGCAGTTCCACTGCACCATGATCCTTCTTCTATTCCATGGAAAAAACTCTTCATAAGTTTCCTCCTCTCTTGCGATTTGGAATACATAAAGAAACAGGAAATTTTTACCTTTAAGCAAACTTCTTGAAGTACAGATTTTTAAAATTAATTGCAAGGAATTTATGAGATAATGTAGTATTCAGCCTTTCCTGACATCTAGAGCTGCATTGTCCAACTTGGTAGCCACTAACTACATGTGGTTATTTAAATTTATATAAAACTAAAAATTCACTTCCCTAGTCACACCAGCCTCACGTCAAGTGCTCAATAGCTGTGACTTTACTGGACAGCGCAGATAGAGAACATTTCCTTCACTGCAGAAAGTTCTAGTCTACAGTGCAGAAGAGAGTTTGCCCTTTGCCTTGGGGTCCAAATCTCTTTCCCAAGATCTGTGTTAGCTGCTCTCTCTCATTGAGGGTATCAGGATTCCTCAGAAAGGCAAATAGCAAATGCCTCCCAGCTGCATGGGCTCTTCTTGTCTGTAAAATATCTTCTACTGGAAGATACCCAAAAATGAAGAGGGAAGAAACCAGGCAGCCCAATACAATCACCAGTCATGGGTTTGGGAAATTTAGGCATTGGGGAATTTAGGAAT